TTAAAATAAGTTTTAATAATTTTAAAATATCATAAGCTTTAAGAGTATGTTCTTTGACCTTAATGGATTTAAATTAGAGATCAATAAGAATAAGATATCTAGGAAAATCTCGTACATTTGAAAATTAACGCTCTTCTAAATAATTTGTGGATCAAAAAGTAATCAGAGGAAACTAGGAAACATTTCAAATTTATCAAGAATGAAAATGCAATATATTAAAAATGTGTGCAATACTATTAAAACAGCACCTAGAGGAAATTTACAGCTATAAATGTTCATAGCAGGAGAGAAAAAAGTTCCAAACCCAATGACTTCAGGAGCTAGAACAAAACAGTAATGTAAATTCAAAGTAGATAGAAGAAATTAGTAATGATAAGAGGAAAAATCAATAAAATAGAAAAAATAAACAGAAAAAAATTAACAGAGCTAAAGCTGTTCTTTGAAAAGGGCAACATGATTGACAACCTTCTGTCTAGACTGGTCAATAAAAAGGAGAAAACACAAAGTACCAATATTGGATCCTACAGATATGAAATACATAAAAAAAATGTTACAAACAACTTTATCTCAATAAATTTGACAACTTTGATGAAGTGGATAAATTCCTTGCAAAATACAACTTACCAAAACTCACACAAGATGAAACAAAGTCTGAACAATCCTATGTCTGTTAAAAAAATTGACTTTGTCATCAAAAATATTCCCACAAAGAAATGTCCATCCTTGGATAGTTTAACTGGTGAATTCTATCAAATATGCAAAGAACAGATAATAACAATCTTATGCAAGTTTATTTAGAGAAGGAAGAAATACTATGCAAAATACCCTGGCAAAAAAATTCATAAAAGGAATATTAAAGACTAATGTATTTTATGAACATAGTTATAATAATTTTCAGTAAAATATTAATTAATTGAATATAACAATATACTAAGAAGATAATGTATCATGTGTTATAGTTAATTTTATGTGTCAACTCACCTGGGCCTCAGTGTGCACAGATATTTGGTCAAGCATTATTCTGTTGTTTCTGTGAGGGCATTTTTGGATGGGATTAACATATAAGAGGGTAGACTGAGTAAAGCAGATTGCCCTTCCTAACATGAGTGGACCTCATTCAACCAGTTGAAGGCCTAACTAGAACTAAAAGGCTTACCCCCTCCCAAGTAAGAGAATTCTTTCTGCCTGTCTTTGAACGAGAGCAGTGGCTCTTCCTGGTTCTTGAGCTGTCAGCCTTCAAGTTGGAAGTACAATTTTGGGTGTCCTGGATCTCCAGCTTGCTGATTTATCCTGCAGATCTTGGGACTTGTCAGCCTGCATGATTATATGAGTCGCTTCCTTATAATAAATCTCTTTCTTTATATGTGTGTATCCTATTGGTTTCTCTGGAGAATCCTGACTCATATATTGGGCTTATCCAAGGAATGCAAGATTAATTCTGCATTCAAAAATTAATTAAAAGAATTCACCATATTTAAAAACAAACAGAAAATCATACAGTCATCTTAATAGATACATAACAAGCATTTGTTGACAAAATTCAATACTCATTCATGATAAAAACTCTCAGCAAGCCAGAAACAGAAGGGAGCTTCTCAACTGGATAAAGGGCATATATGAAAAACCTATAACTAACATCAAGCTTGATGGTGAAATATTGAATGTTTTTTCTCTAAGACTTGGGAGCAAGACAAAGATTCTTGATCTTACATTCATCAACATTGTTAAGATGTTAATAACAAATGACATGATTGTCTAGGTAAAAAATCCTAAGGATCTGTAAAGGAGCTACTGGAACTCATAATGAATTTTGCAAGGTCATAGAATACAAGGTTAGTGTAAAAACCATTATACATATACATATATGAATATATACATATATCTATATAGAGAGAGAGAGGGAAAGAGAGACTAGCAGCAAACCATTGGAAAATAAAATAAAATAATTTTTTACAACAGCACAAAACATATAAACTAGTAGTAACTTTCAAAAACAAGTGCAACTCATGCTCACTAAAGATTGCATAGCATTGCTGATTATAGAGGACCTAAATACATTGGGAGATATACTGTCATCTTGTAGTGGAACACTCAGTATTGTAAAGGTGTCAAATATTCCAAAATTTATTTATTGCTTCAATACAATTCTAATCAAAATTCCAGCAGAATTATGTTGGAAATTGTGACGATTATTATAAACTTTATATGGAAATGCAAAATAATACTTTTTAAATGAAGAACGAGGTTAGAGAACTCATATTTCTTGATTCAAAGCATGCTTAAGTTACAGTATTCAAGGCAGCATTTCATTGGTGAAAGATGGACATACCTATGGGACAGAATTCAGAGTTTTGAAATTGAATCATCAATTGATTTATGACAAAGGTGCCAAATTAATTCAATGGGGAAAAGAAAATATTTTCAACACATGGTTTTGGAACAACGGGAAAAAATAACTTTGACCCTTATCACATACCATATTCAAAAAATAGCTCAAAATTGGTTATAAACCTAAACGTAAAAGCTAAAATGGCAAGAATTCCAGAGGAAAACAGTTAAGTCCTTGGAAGTAGATGGAGGTTTCTCAGATAGGACAGAAAAAGCATGAAGCATTTTTTAAATGATAAATCGAACTTCATAAAAATTAAAACCTTTCGCTCTTTGGAAGACACCGTTTAAAAAAAAGCAAGCCAAGAAATTGGAGAAATTATTCATAACACTTACGTTTTACGTATGTTTTGAATCCAAAATGTGTAAGGTACTTTTATAATTCAATAATAAGAAAACAATTCAATTTTTTAATGAGAAAGGTTTGAAACAGACATTTCCCTAAAAATTGTATACAAATGGAATATAAGTACATGAAAATGTGCCTGACATAATTAGTCATTCAAAGAAATGTAGATTAAAACCACAATGAGATACCACTACATATCCATCATAAGAATGGCTGAAATTAAAGACTGATTAGAGTAGGCAAAGAAAAACTGAAAATGTTAGACACTAGTGGTCAAATGTGAAGTGATACAACCACTTTGAAAAATATTTGGCAGTTTCTTTTCTTTTTTTTTCCAAGATGGAGTCTCGCTCTGTCACCCAGGCTAGAGTGTAGTGGCGTGATCTCACCTCATTGCAACTTCCGCCTCCTGAGTTCAAGCAATTCTCCTGTCTCAGCCCCCTGAGTAGCTGGGACTACAGGCACACACCACAACACCCAGCTAATTTTTGTATTTTTAGTAGAGATGGGGTTTCACCATATTGGTCAGGCTGGTCTCGAACTCCTGACCTCAAGTGATCCACCCACCTCGGCCTCCCAGAGTGTTGGGATTACAGGCGTGAGCCACCACGCCAGGCTGGCAGTTTCTTATAAACACTCAGCTATCTTATAAACCAGTCATTCTGCTTCTAGGTATTCACCCCAGATAAAAGAAAACATATGTGTCTACACAAAGATTTATGTATGAATACCCATAGTAGCTTTATTCACAATAGTCCCAAACTAGAATCTGATAGCTCGAATGTCTGCTAGCTGGTAAATGGATTACAAATTGTGGTATGCTGATATGATAGAATACCACTCTGCAATAAGAGAAAATGAACTATTGATGAACCACTATATAGACGAATTGTAAATCATCATGCTGAGTAAAGAAAGAGTACATTTTGTATTTTATATATGTGTGTATGTGTTTATGTATATACACAGAAACATGTGTGTATATATCTAGTATCTATGTTAATATATAATGTGTATGTCTGTATATAATATATGTATTATCCGTTATATTTTAAAATAATTTGTGTATATATGTATGTATATGTACATATATACACATATATTTAATATATGGTACATATGTGTGTATATATGCATGTCTACATGTATATATATAATAAATATGTGTATGTATGTATTAAATATGTGTGTATATAATATATAAATATTGAAATATATATGTTAAATATTTGAAATATATATTATATTATATACTAAATATATATGTGTATACTTTATATACATATGTATCAAACTAGAAAATTCAAACTGTTTTAGATAGACATGAGCCAGATCAGACTTTGCCTGGGACTAGATTTGAGGGTGATGGAAATATTTGGTGTCATGATTACAGTGGTATTTTCAAAAACTTATTCAGCTGTTAAACTCCTTACATTCTGCAATTTATGTAAATTTTCAGCAGTTTATTCTATGTAAATTATACCTCAATAAAGTTCTTAGAGACAGTAAAAGGATCAGTGATTGGCAGGGGTGAGGGAAAAGAGAGAGGGGTGAATTGAAGGAGCACAGGGGATTTTAGGGTGCTGAATCTGTTCTGTAAGGATACTGTGATGGTGGATACACGGCATTATGCATTTGTCAAAACTGGTAGAAGTGTGCAATGTGCCCGGTGAACTTTAATATAGACTAAGGACTGTAGTTAACATAATGTATCAATATTGGTTCACTAGTTGTAACAAATGCACCACATTAACACAAGACTTTAAAAATAAGGAAACTGTGCAGGAAGAGAGGTAATATGGGAACTAGCTATACTATAAGCTCAATTTTTCTGTCAACCTAAAACTCTATTAAAAAATCAAGCTATTTTTAAAACGATGGACTACCTGTATCCAACGTGAAATATGGATTATCAATTTACTTTCTAGGATTATTTTTAAGTTAATTCTTTCTTAAAACTCTGTATTCATTTGGAGAAAAGAGCATTTTAACACAATTTTCAGTTTCATTGAATTTTTTCCTGTGAGTTAATTTTCCAAATGATATGTGTATTCCATGTATCATATTCCTCATAAATGATTTCCTTAATCCTTAGCTTTCATTTATTCCAAATAAAAAGCTCACCTTAAAGACCCAAATTAAATGAGAAATGTCAGAAATAGTTAACTGATTTTGATTACCAGTGGCAAAAACAAAAAAAACCCTGATTTTTGTTTTCCATTTTTGACTTCCATCCTTTTTCCTCCATGGTTGTCTCTAAAAGGGAGTTTCGAACCTTGGTAATTGAAATGGTGATGGCCACGGATATGTCTTGTCACTTCCAACAAATCAAAGCAATGAAGACTGCTCTGCAGCAGCCAGAAGCGTAAGTGTGCTTGCGGCTTGTGCTTGTGTTTGTGTAGGTGTTTAAATGGGTCCCTGTCCATGTGGCTATCCCTTTAAAGAGCATCTCCTTTAACACAACTTTATAGAGTGTTCTCATGCAATGGTGATGTTTGAAGGAGAAAGCATAAAAGTTGTACCTATCACAATGAGGTATGTTTTCATCAGGGTTGAAAAAATAATAGAGGTAGTATCAGTTGTCCCCAGTGAGAATTTAAAATAATTCCCTGTGGGAAACTAAATTATCAGAGATCCCCAATGCAGAGGCAACACATAAAAGTCAGTTACTCTTGGATTCTTGCTGTCTTTTTGAAGGATGCAGTCATCCCAGAAATGGATTTGAGTCCAGAGAGTCCAATTCTGTAAATATGGAGACCAAGTTAATGAGTATCCCAGTTGTAGGATGAAATGATGTCTTTTCCTCAATTTAACTGAAGTGGGGTTTGAGATGGAAGAACAACAGAGATTAAAAACTTAATAATTTTTTAAAAACTCTTATTGAGGTTCTGAAGAGTGTGGTCATCATGTGTTTGGGTGCTTTTGGTTTACAGCATTGAAAAGCCAAAAGCCTTATCCCTTATGCTGCATACGGCAGATATTAGCCATCCAGCAAAAGCGTGGGACCTCCATCATCGCTGGACAATGTCACTCCTGGAGGAGTTCTTCAGACAGGTACCTTGTTGCTCTCTCTCCATCAGGGCTGTCATCACTGGATATTTGATGAATTTTGTATCTCAGTAATGCTAGGGTAAGGACTATTGAGATTACAGTAATTTTGGAGAGGGGAGGGGGACTCCACAGATTATTTTGCTTTTTGGTCATGTGATGTTTGAGTCTCACCTAAATACTGATTTTTAGGACATTATGGTATTTCTAGCCTATGCATTTCTGTTTGGGGAAAAAAGGTGTTTCCTTGTGGCAGTCTTTTGTCAAAATGTCATTTGAGGAGTTCTTTTACTTTTTTTTTCTAGTAGCTCGACAAAATGACAGTTACTTTGGCATCACCCTGTAGAATTAAGATGTTAATCTTGAACTCATGTCTCTATTATAATTGGTTGGGTTGTTTCTTTCTAGTGGACAAGTCCATGATGCAAAATTCTAAACCACATGTGGCAATTTGGGGTCAGGAAATCACTAGAAACTACTATTCCAATTATATTTAAACTTCACTACATCCTAAGTTCCAGAGTTGTGTTGTCTATAAGAATTGGCAGGATTGGTCTGGTGCGGTGGCTTATGCCTATAATCCCAGCACTTTGGGAGGCTGAGGTGGGCGGATCATGACGTCAGGAGATCGAGGCCATCCTGGCCAAGAGGGTGAAACCCCATCTCTACTAAAAATACAAAAATTAGCCGGGCCTGGTGGCGGGTGCCTGTAATCCCAGCTACCTGGGAGGCTAAGGCAGGAGAATCGCTTGAACCTGGGAGGCGGAGGTTGCAGAGAGCCGAGATCGTACCAGTGCACTCCAGCCTGGTGACAGAGTGAGACTCTGTCTCAAAAAAAGAATAGGCAGGATCTTTAATTATTATAAATTGTTTAAAAACAAATTTTAAAACTGCATAGAGCTAGAGAAATAGAAAGGGAAATAAATTCTTGGCACCAAGGCCAAAATGTTTCCAATTCAGGCATGTGCACTAACCTTATCTCTAGAGGAGCTGCCATTCAAACATCTGCCTCCAGACATGCGGGCCTGAGATTGAAGGCATGATACATAGATTTGGGGACCTAAATTATAATTAATTCAAGTTAATGTAGTTAATTCAGTTAATTCTTGCTAATTCAAGAAAGAGGTTCAACAGCATGGATTCAGAGACTTCTGATTCCATAAAACACTACTTAATAACACGAGTCACAACTTCATCCTGCAAACTGAGAAGAGATGGGCTCTTTTGCTATTTATTTAGATTTCTGAAAGACAATTGCTCTTGTGATAATTCTTACTCTTACATTTCGAGTTTGAATGGAGAAATTGTAGAAGGCACCTGTGTGTAGTGTGTGTTTTCCTTCTGAAGCTGTACATACTATCTAGTAATGAAGTGGGGCTAGAGTTAACAGCACATTAAACAAATACCAGAAGACCCTTTCTTGGAGTTTATTTCAACTGATTTATGGCCTGAGTCTAATCAAATTGCTTCTGTAATTCCCTATGGTCTTATCTATGATTTATGTTGGGAGGGTGGGGGGAGGGAGGGATTTAGGATAAGGTTGGACCAGATATTTTCTTAAGACCCTTTCATTAGGAAATGCAAGGCATTTCCTTCACTCTGTCTATGGTGCCCGTGCACACATGCACACACACATGCCACAGCACCCTCAAGCTGTTATATGTGTATGTCAACAGGTCCTTATTTAGTTTATGGTTAATTCTCTTTGCAGAGTCATTGCTCAGCCTCCCAGAGTAGTTCTCAAAGGGGACTCAATGGTGTGGGAGGAACTAGAACTCTACAGGTGACTCTGGAAAATCATCCTTCACCAAGGGCTTCTTTTGAGCTCTTTTTCCAAAGGCTGTTTTTCTAATAGTAGTAGGAGGATGTTCTCCAAATCTCCACTCCCCCTATCATGCTTTCTTTGATAATACTTTTGCAATATCACCCTTATTAGTCTGTTCTCATGCTGCTAATAAAGATATACTCAAGACTCAGTAATTTATAAAGGAAAGAGGTTTAAGGGACTCACAGTTCCATATAGCTGGGGAGGTCTCACAATCATGGCAGAAGAGTAAAGGGATGTCTTACACAGTGGCCAGCAAAGAGAGAGAATGAGATCCAAGCGAAAGGGATTTTTCCGTTATAAAACCATCAGATCTCATGAGACTTATTCACTACCACAAGAATGGTACGGGGAAAACCGCCCCTAGGATTCAGTTCTCTCTCACCGGGTTCATTTCACAACATGTGGGAATTATGGGAGCTACAATTTAAGATGAGATTTGGGTTGGAATACAGCCAAACCATATCATTCCACCCTGGCCCCTCCCAAATCTCATATTCTCACATTTCAAAACCAATCATGCCTTCCCAACAGTCCCTCAAAGTCTTAACTCATTTCCACATTAACTCAAAAGTCCACAGTTCAAAATCTCATCTGAGACAAGAGAAGTCCCTTCTGCCTATGAGTCTGTGAAATCAAAAGCAAGTTAGTTATTTCCTAGATACAATGTGGGTACAGGCATTGGGTAAATACAGCCATTTCAAATGGGAGAAATTGGCCAAATAAAGGGGTTACAGGGCCCATGCAAGTCAAAAATCCAGCATGGCAGTCAAATCTTAAAGCTCCAAAATCATCTCCTTTGACTCTATGTCTCACATCCAGGTCATGCTGATGTAAGAGGTGGGTTCCCATGATCTTGGGCAGCTCTGCCTCTGTGGCTTTGCAGGGTATGGCCTCCATCCTGACTGCTTTCATGGACTGGCAATGAGTGTCTGCTGCTTTTCCAGGCACATGGTGCAAGCTGTCAGTGGATCTACCATTCTGGGGTCTGGAGGACGGTGGCCTTCTTCTCACAGCTCCACTAGGCAGTACCCCAGTAGGGACTCTGTGTGGGCGTTTCAACCCCACGTTTTGCTTCCATACTACCCTAGCAGAGGTTGTCCATGAGGGCCCTGCCCCAGCAGCAAATTTCTGCCTGGACATCCAGGTGGTTTCATACATCCTCTGAAATCTAGGCGGATGTTCCAAACCTCAATTCTTGACTTCTGTGCGCCCACAGACTCAACACTCTGCAGAAATCTCCTAGGCTTAGGGCTTGCACCTTCTGAAGCCATGGCCTGAACTGTACCTAGCCCCTTTTAGCCATGACTAGCATGTCTGGGATGCAGGGCACCAAGTCCCTAGGCTGCACACAGCCATTTTTTCCTCCTAGGCCTGTTGGTCTGTGATGTGATGGGCTTCAGGAAGGTTTCTGACATGCCCTGGAGACATTTTCCCCATTGTCTTGTCTCCTTGTTACTTCTGCAAATTTGTGCAGCAGGCTTGAATTTCTTCTCAGAAAATGGGTTTTTCTTTTCTATTGCATCATCAGGCTGAAAATTTTCTGAACTTTTATGCACTGTTTCCCTTTTAAAACCAAATTACTCTTTTTAAAAAAATTATACTTCAAGTTCTAGGGTTTCTAGGGCCTACATGTGCACAACGTGCCAGGTTTGTATACAATGTATACTTGTGCCATGTTGGTGTGCTGCACCATTAACTTGTCATTTACATTAGGATATCTCTAATGCCCATCCTCCCGCTCCCTGCTCCCAATAGGACCGCGTGGTATGATGTTCCGTCCGTGTCGCGGCTGATCTCTTGTTCAATTCCACCTATGGAGTGAGCACATGAGGTGGTTTGGTTTTCTGTTCTGCCGATAGTTTGACGGCAGCAATGATGGTTTCTAGGCTGCCATCCATGTCCCTCAGGACACGAACCTAATCCTTTTTTATGGTGCTGTATTCCACGGTGCTTACATGCCACATTTTCTTAATCAGTCTATCACTGATGCGATCATTTGGGTTTGATTCCAAGTCTTTTGCTATTGTGAATAGGTGCTCTGTACATTATAATGTGCTGTTTTCGTGTATTAGCCGCATCACTATAGTCTTTGGTAATATCCCCAGTGTGGGATGGCTGGGGTCAATGGTGTGTTTCTAGTGGTGATCTCCTGGTGTCCATATGTCGTGTAACAGTCACCACAATCCTAGGTAAGTGTCCTATTTCTCCCACATCTCCTCCAGACCTGTTGTTTCTGACTTTTAATGATTGCATTTCTTACTGTGTGTGAGATGGTATCTCTTGTGTGTATTTGATTTGCATTTCTCTGATGGCAGTGATATGGAGCCTTGTATTTCATGCTGTTGTTGGCGTATGACATGTCTTCTTTTGAGAAGTGTCTGTTCATATCCTTTGCCACTTTTTGATGTGGTTGCTTTGTTTTTTCTTTTGTAAATTTGATTAGTAGTTCTTTATAGGTTCTCGGTTATATAGCCCTTTGTCAGGATGAGTGATGTCAAAATTTCTCTCCATCCTGGTAGGTTGCCTGTTCACTCTGATGGTATGGTTTCTTTGCGCTGCAGAAGGCCTCTTTAGTTTATTAGATACCCATTTGTCGTTGTTGGCGTTTTGGTTGCTGTTGTTTTGGTGTTTTGACATGAAGTCCTTGCCGATGCCTATGTCCTGAATGGTATTACCGTAGGTTTTCTTCTAGGGTTTTTATGGTTTTAGGTCTAACATTTAAGTCTGCTAATCCATCTTGAATTAATTTTCATATAAGGGATAAGGAAAGGATTCAGCCAACGAACAAGCTGGGAGGATCACGCTCTGACTTCAAGCTATACTACAAGGCTACAGTAACCAAAACAGCATGGTACTGGTACCAAAACAGAGATATAGACCAATGGAACAGAACAGACCCCTCAGAAATAGTACCACACGTCTATAGTCATCTGATCTTTGACAAACCTGACAAAAACAAGAAATGGGGAAAGGATTCCCTATTTAATAAATGGTGCTGGGAAAATTGGCTAGCCATAAGTAGAAAGCTGAAACTGGATCCTTTCCTTACTCCTTATATAAAACGAAATGCTTTTAACAGCACCCAAGTCACCTCTTGAATGTTTTGCTGCTTAGAAATTGTGTCTGCCAGATATCCTAAGTCATTTCCCTCAAGTTCAAAGTTCCACAGACCTCTAGG